AGGGGACAAAAACTATTACAGAGATTACACATCGAGACAAATTCATTTATAAGACTACGACACGGTTCTTTATTCCCTCATTGATTTATTTTTATATTTAGTCAATTCTAACAATTTTGTTTTGTAATATTGATTTTACCAACAATTAAAAACACACGCAGCTTGCATACGCAACTTCTCACAAACCCTGCAGGCACAACTGCATATACACCATGTAGACATAATTGTTTAAATTCAAGATTTCAAAGAAGAACAACACCTTCTTTAACTGTTAAAATCACAGTTAAATTATTATATTCTTAATACCCAATCATTGATTATAAAATTTGTAAAAGATATATGATCTTACTGAATAATGGCTTGGATTTTGTTTCTGAATCATATGACTGTCAATTTGCCTAGGTTTGATAAGGAATGTGTTATGCAATTTATAACAAATTCATAGAAAATTAATCTATATATTACAATTAATGCCCTTTGAAGACAACAACCGTAGCTTCCATACAGCAAATTGACAAATTCAAGGGAGCTGAATTCTCGTTCTTAATTTTATAATTTCATAAACAATCCACGAATTAAAAAATAAGAAAAAAAAGTTAAAATAATAATCATTATCATTGACGTATTTATCGAAAAAATCACTGAATTTTTATTTACGTGTCAGACACCATTAGAGAAAATATTACGGATCTAATACCCTTTACAGAAAAACATTGATTATGATCCGCGCCTTACGCTGACGTGGCGCCACGTGAGGTAAGGCGTAGATTATCATCTGCGCCTTTCTGGGATAGGTGTTAGATATGTAATTTTTTTTAAGAGGGATATCTAATATGTAATTAATTTATGTTAGGGTGATATTTGTGTAAAAATGTTAAATGTTTTTTCATACTTTTGTGTGAAAAAAAACTTTCTGCATTAAAATCTTTAAATATGTTTTTGTAAATTATTTTATAACTAGACAAATTTTATTTTTTGCATGAAATTACACAATACATTTATGTCTACCAATTACCACTTCGTACTTTCTAATGTCTTTTGACACTTTCAAACCTATACGTATAGTCTAGTCTAGGAAAACTTTAAGGGTAAGTAATTTAATATTAATAATTTATAAAAGTTTTATAACTGTATTTCTTTTTCAAAATGATGATGATGATGATAATAAGAAATATTTATAATTAAAAATTATAAATTTCATATATTTTTAAAAAAATTCTTAACTTTTAAAATTAATTTTTTAAAATATAAAATAAAAAAAAATAAAATAAAATTTTAATTACAACTGATGGATCAAATAAATTAGATTCATTAATTATTATTTTAACAAAAAATAATAATTTCAATAATTTATTTTCATATACTTAATTTTAAAATGAATACACATTAATTGTTGTAAAAATAATAATTAATAATAATAATTCATTTTATCCCTTATTGTAATTAAAATTATTTTAATATTTTTTTTATTTTTAAACAGTTAGGTTTAAAAGTTAAGAAATAATCAAAAATATATGAAATTTATAATTTTTTAAAATAAAATATTTCTTATTATTATATTATTATTATATCATCATCATCATTATCATTTTGAAAAAGAAATACTATTATAATTTTTTTATAAAATTATTTTTTAACAACAGTTAATAATTTTGATAATTTATGGTATAGTGCTTAATTTTAAAAATAAATACACATTATTAACTATTGTTAAAAAAATAATTAATGAATAATAATTCATTTGATCTCTCAATTGTAATTAAAATTTTATCTTAATATTTTTTATATTTTTAAAAATTAATTTAAAAGTTAATAATTTTTTTTTAAAAATATATGAAATTTATAATTTTTTAAATTATAAAATATCTTTATTATTATATCATCATCATTATTTTGAAAAAGAAATATTATTATAAAACTTTTATAAAATTATTCATATTTTAAATTACTTACCCTTAAAGTTTTCCAAGACTAGACTATACGTATAGGATTTTGAAAGGGTCAAAAATGTATTAGAAAGTGTCAAATGGTAATTATTAGGCATAATTGTATTGTGTAATTTCATGCAAAACCAAATTTGTCGAGTTATAAATAATTTGCAAAAACATATTTAAAGATTTTAATGAAGAAAGTTTTTTGCACATAAAAAATGAAGAAATTTGACTTTTACATAAATATCACCCAATAGAATTAATTACCTGGTAGACACAATTTTAAAACATTTTACGGATCTAGCACCCTATGCAGAAAGCATGGCGTAATGCGCGTATTATGATCAATGCCTTTCTGCAAAGGGTGTTAGATCTAACAGTGTCTGATACACAAATAAAAATTCAGTGATTTTTTGGTAAATATGCCTTATTCATTAGTTGATCAATTTATAATTTTCCAATTCTTACCACGGACTAAAATCTCTATTCTAGAATGTTAGAATTTTAATTTGTAAATAATAAACTATTCATGAAAAGTAATATCATTGTAAACCAATCGAGTTGAGTTTGTGTGTTATTGAGTCGATATATTAAAGGAATTTAAAGTTGATATGACGCGATATGAAAGCTTATAAGTTTATAATTGTCAAGCTCACTTGGAATCAAAATTAAAGTTCGACTTGACTTGAAATCTTGTGAGCTTAAAATTTTCGAGTTCGAAAAAACTTAAACTCAAAACATTATCTGACTTAGCTTTATTGAATCTCAAACATCAATTATTGAGCTCGAGTTTGAACCAAAATAAGTACATGAAATCTTATACTGTTTTTCTAAAAAAACAACATAAAAATATTTAATATTATTAATAATTTAATTTTAAAAATAAAAAATTTAATATTTAACTTTGACTTTCTCATCAGCTTTCCAAATCAGACTTTCTCATCAGCTTTCCAAATCGGGAATCAAGTAGTTTGCTTCAGTTCGTTAAAAATTCGAATCAAATTTTAATCCAAATCGAGTTTATTCAATTAAATTGTTGATCGAGTCAAACTCAAATAACTTGTTATCGCTATCCTCTCATTTATATCCCTAAGAAGTATATAATCATTGATAAAAAAAATAAAAGAAAAAACAAGTTTTAAATTAGTAATGCGAAGTGTGAACATTAGTGGGAATTTTAAATAGTGATCCCTTGGAAGTGAGGCTTTTGTTCTCTTCATATTGCTACCATAGATATTAGATGCTTTAGATTAAACAACTTTTAATTTTAATATTTGTATATTTTCTTTTTTCATATTCTCTTTTATCGGTTTAACCATCTTATCTAATATATTGATCGATTATTACAGATCAAATTTTACAAAAGTTCATTATGAGGATATTTCTCTCATCCCATTTTACTAAATTAGTAAATACTAAGATTTAAATTCTTAATATTATTTAAAAAATTTAGTATTTCATCCTACTATACCAGTTGATTAATAACGCAAGTATTGATTAACCATACATGTGATTTGGTATTTGCTAATTGCTAAATACTAAGTTAATCTCCCAATCACATATCATTGTCGTTGCTTTCACATTCATAACATATTAAGCCAACCTCTCTCTTTCTCAATCACTTCGAGTTTGACCCGTCCTCAGCCACCAGTAACTACTCGTTTCTTCTCTCTACTCCAATGGCTACCCCACCCCGCACTCTTTAGAGAGGATCTTCTTAGTGGAAAACATGTCCTAGTCGTGAGAGAAATACCCTCTTTTTCTCTCTCTTCTTCTATTTTAGAGCTAAAGAAATAACCTTTCCTTTCTCTTTCCTCCTCCAAAACAAACCTAATCATAGATAGAAGGAGAGTCACCAACAAGATGATGAACAACTTTCTTTATTATAGAAAGTATTTTTCAAGAGGATCGATGGATATGAAGGGAAAGCCTTTTTACTTTTAGGGTTCACGGAATGTAAGATTACCAGTGGGAATAAAGGATTACCAGGGAATAAGATTACCAGGGAATAAGATTACTGGGAATGTTGTATTTTGTGTTTGGTTGTTAGAATGTAAGATTACCGTGTTTGTTAAAGTAATAAAAGATTATTGGAATGTATATTTGACCAAATTGTCCTTATTATATATTTGTATAATATTACAAATTGTAAAATATTTATATATTTTCTTTAAAAAATTAAATTCATAATTTTATATAATTTTTTACAAAATTAAAAATAAAAAAAAGGTTAATGGAAGGGTAATTTTTTTTAACCCTTAAACTTCATATAAAATTTTAATTATAGATTTTTTTTTTAAATCTAAAATAATTTAAGGATAAATTTTTAATTTAACCTTCGTAGAATTTTTATTATTCAATGAAGGATATTTTTGAAAAAAAAATAAAAATTTAAGGACATTTTAATCCAAAACGCCGGTAATATTACAATACCTAAGGGAAGGGAGGTAATGACATTCCCGGTAATATACCCCAAAAAATCTACTATTGGTAATAAAACATTACCGAGAATGAGATTCACGACCAACCAATATGGAAATGTAGTATTCCATCCCATGAAAATCTCACATCCTTGAACCAAACACCCTTAAGGATATGGTAACTTTTTAATTTGCTTCCTTTTTTTTAGTAGTAGTTTACAATCTTCAAGTGGTGGTGATGATCAAGAGTATGACTCTATGCCAGCGTCAGTCCCGGCTTTTCTGAACACTTCAGGCCACTTTAGTGCCTTATCAAATCCACACCCATTGCTTGGCTCGCACCACCACCACCACCACCAACCACCAATTTCTCTGATCCTTGGCCAAACTATCTCAATAACCCTTTCTCTCAGTCTCAACTGCTGCATCTTGATGGGGTTAGACAAGAAAGCCTAAAATATGACCCCAACTGCATGACCATGGCAACCTACCAGCTCCTCTCATCGAGCCAGTCTATGTTGGGTCCACAAGGAATCAACCATGGTTCATTCCCAAGCTCATCGTCGGTTCAAACAAGGTCTCCTCATGAACCAGTGGTGTAAGCATCGACAAAGAATCCCAAGAAGCGAACAAGGGCATCATCGTGAAGATGACACCCAAGAAGCGAACAAGGGCATCACGGAGAGCACCCACTACAGTTCTCACCACCGACACAACGAATTTTAGAGCAATGGTGCAAGATTCACTGGAATACCTCCACCACCATTTCTGGGTTCATCGTCGTATTCTCGAAGGGTCGACCTTTTTGGCTCTGGCTCTGGTTTCGGTCCGGTCATGTGGAACCTCTAGGTTCTCCCTACCCTCTACGTCCCTCAGCGAAAAGGGTCAACCAACTCCATTTGCATCCTCATCATCTTCTCCTTCATTGCTAAACAATCCTTTAGTTCATGCTGCTTATACCGTTATCGATATCAGCATTCCAAGCAACTATCAACCTCAGAATATGTTAAACTTGCAAAATCAGAGCCCCATTTTACCTCTCCAGTCTCTCCTAGACCCTACGGCTAATATGCCTGGCTTCGGTGATAAGACGTCCCATGGAAGTTCGGGACCCTCCCTTGATGAACTGGGGTTGAGCCATGGTCAAGTTAATGCCAACCTGGGTGGCTTAGCACCTGATGCTGCACGTCATGGAAACAGGAGAGACGGGGTTGGATTGAACCAAGGCAACCGAGATCATTCTAGAGCTGTAGGTATTGTTGAGTCATGGATTCGTCCTGCAGAGTAGAGTTTACAGTACTACAAATTATTATTAATGTGCACAGATTTGTCATGCAGAACAACTATATAAGCTTTAATCTGGAGAGGTTTTTGCATCAGTAATCGCCCTTGCTCTTTCATGTTTCTTTTTTCCTCTTAATTTATTCCTTTTTATGTTCATTTTTAAATAAATAAAAATTTAGAATTCCAGCATTATACTTGCTTCGTTAGGATGTATGCTGCATTATATACACATATGTTGACTTCTTCTCTTTTAGGATTAAATAAATAAAAATGTGATCTATGTTATTGTTTAGAATAATTCTCTGTGCTATCGTGTAGTCAATAATTTTGAGGGCAAAATCTCGTTGATAGTGCGTTGAAATTTTTTTATTCGTTAAATAGTGGGATCGCCAGATTAATTGCTAAAGTAGTGTCCTCTACAGTACCGGGGGTAGGTCGCCATGCACGCCCGGAGACCAACCAGGTCGCCATGCACGCCCGGCGACCAACCAGGTCGCCATGCACGCCCGGCGACCAACCAGGTCGCCATGCACGCCCTGCGACCTACCCCACGACCTCCATGCATGCCCAGGCACGTCCAACGACCTCCATGCACGGCCATGCACGCCCAACGACCTCCATGCACGCCCAGCTCGCCAAAGGTCACCATGCAGTCCATGCTTGGACTGAACAACGTTGGGCCATGCAGGATAGGTAGCCATACAATCCTCTCCACTTGCAGCTGCTCAGGAGAACCTATTCCTCCTGCTCCTCGCGTGATTCCTCTTACATCTGCTGTATTATTGCAGCATGATTTGAGCTGCAAAGTGTCATAGATTCGTGCCCTAGCTTCTAGCCATAGCTTGTCCCTCATGCCATAGCTTCGAGACTGTTCACTCTTGTTATCATAGCTGTATTGGTGCAGCATAAAATCAGCTGTGTTGTATTATTGCAGCGTTCAACGGTTGAAAAATTTACAGCTTTCAACGTGAATTATACAGCTCAAATTGATTGCAACTTACCTACCAACCGTTGAAATATCATTATATATTGGATATGAGGGGTTTAGGGTAGAATCATAAGAAAGAAAGAAATTTGGCGAGAGAAAGGAATGAAAGGAAATAAGAAGAAGAGGAAATGGAGATAAAGGCTCAAATATCGTTTGTGAGGTAATTTTTAATTGTTTAATTTAGTTTATTAATATGAAATTATGAAATAATTAGTTTGTTAGTTTAGGGTTTAGGATAAAACAAAATTTAGTTAATTAGTTTGTTAGTATAAATATTAGTTTGTTAGTTTAAGTTATATTATATTAATTTGTTAGTTTAAGTATATATTAGATTAATAAAAATTAGTTAATTAGTTTCTTAGTTTAAGTTATTAAATGTAAAAATATTTAATTAATTTGTTAGTGTGTTTAAACGTATATTAAGTTGTTTGTTGAAGTTTAAGTTAAAATATTAAAAAAGTTAATTAGTGCTTAATTAGTTTGTTAGTTGTTATTTTAACTAAATTATATTATAATAAAGAAAAAGTTTATTAGTTTAAGTTATATTATAATATATTAGTTATATAAATTTAATTTTTTTAATTTATTGTTGTTTAAAGAAATAATTTTTTACACGTACAGAGCATTATTCCACAACATTTTTCCACGTACATATTGATTCGAAGAAAGAAACAATAAAGGAAGGAAAGGAAAGGAAATGAGCAACAACTTTTTCACGATTGTCCATTATAATGGACAGATTATGGAAATGAGATCGGAGTAGTTTTTCAGTCTGAAAAACCAATAAATATGATGTTCAAAAAAGACATCACATTTATAGAAATGAAGCATAAGATAGAAGAAAAATTCGAGTTGCAGTTGATGGTTTGAGGTATAGGTTTATGATATGCCCCAACCCAGTCAAATGCTGCAGTTCCACTTGAAGAAGATGATGATATTGGAACCATGGTTCGATTACATGAGTTAACCATATAGCAGTTATTGAGTTATTGTTGATGTGCATAACATATGTGATGTTCCTGGGTCATCAAGAGGTGTGGCTCAAAATCCATCTGAAATGACTTTATATAGTCAGTTGAGGAGCCGACATACAGGTTCCCGAACAGTTTTATGGCACTATTGGAAAGTGTAAATGAAGTCGGGGGATATCTGCAACAGAAGAGTGTGAGACGAGAAACCATACCGGAATTGGTTGTTGATATTGACGCTGAAAATCGATGGGGAGAAATTCATGATGATTCAAGCGAAGATGAAGAAACCGAAGAACCCTTTTGGGCGGCGACGAAAATATTTTTGGTGGAGGTGCAATTGATGAAGTTCCGGCACCGTATGAAGCTACTCCTCACATGTACGAGATAGACTATGATGCGATGAGGGCACCTGAATTCCCAGACATGCCACATTTACCTCCATACCAAATGACTGCATCATTCGATAATTTTGGTGAATTTTCAGTTGGGGTGCAATTCAGAGGAAAAAATGAAGCTACCCTAGCGATTAAAGAGTACTGCTAAAATGCCATGTGATATCCATGTTGCAGAGTCCAACCAGAAAACCCTATACGCGAAGTGTGTAAATATGGCCTAGAGTGCAAGTGGAAGATCAGAGTGTCGAAAAATCAAAGGCACGATGTTTGGGTCATCACGAGGTACAATGGTCCGCACACGTGTTTGCGAAACTTCATCGAACAAGACCACCGACTATTGGACTCCGATGTAATATGTGAATACGTGAAGCGATGGTTGAAAAGGATCCAAGGATATCTTGTTCAGTGTTAGCTGCATCTATTCGAAGCCAATTTGGATATCAGTAAAATATGCAAGGTGTGGAATGCGAAGATGAAGGCAATGAAGCTGACGTATGGAGATTGGGATACATCGTACAATGAGCTACCACATTTGCTACAAGCAATGAAGCGATTTATCCCAGGAATCATAGTGAAGTCTCAAACCATGCCCGCATATGACGAAGAAGGTCACTTCTGCCAGGGAAGAAAATATTCATAGACTATTTTGGGCATTCAAGGCATGTATTGAAGGATTTCCATTTTGTAAACGTATGATCCAAGTAGATAGTACGTGGCTGTATGGTCAATATAGGCATGTACTTTTGATGCAGTTGCTCAAGATGGTGAGCGAAATATCTTCCCAATTGCATTCGCCATTGTTGAGGGAGAGACAACAGAGGCTTGGGATTTCTTCTGACCAATCTACGTCAATATGTCGTTCGTGAGATGGAGTTTGCTTGATATCCGATAGAGGAACGGGTATTTTGGCGGCAATTGAACGACCAGGAAGTCGTTGGATACCTCCGTATGCATATCCGACATATTGTATCCGTCATATTGGCAAGAATAGTATCGACCAATTTCATAACGCACACATTCGTAGCGAGATAGTCAGCATGGGTAAGTTTTATTTTCAATATTTGTGCATTTTTTACATGGTTTTTTTAATTGCGGTTTAACACAGTATATTATGAACAGGATACGAACTACGTCGACCAAATTTTGATAAGAGATTGGAGAATTTGAAGGTATTTTACGATGATCAGCGTGTTTGGAAGTGGGCTTCAAAATACCGCGGGAAAAATGGTCACAAGCATATGACAAGGTCGGAGATACGGACATATGACCACAAACCTTGCTGAGGCCATTAATTCGGTACTAAAAGGTACACGCCATCTCCCAATTGCGAGTGTGATGAAAGAGACGTACTTTAGATTGGGTAAAGTTTGGTCGGACAAAGGCAAAGAAATAGAGAGTCTTATAAATAGAGGTAAAACTTGGGCTCCTACAGTGGTGGAATCAATGGAAGCAAATGAGCGATTGGCAACATCAAAGGGTCGACCTGAGTCCACTCGTATTCATACCAGTATGGATTTCCATGCTAGAGAGAGAGGTCAAACAAAGAGATGCGATTATGTAGGGTGAAGGCCATTCAAAAAACATTGTCCTAATTTACCAAGATATAGGCCTCATCATTAGTAATGATATATGTATTTCTATGAATTTCTATGTATTTATAAGATTTAGTAATGATTAGTAATGATGAAATTATTATTAATTTTTAATGATTTGATAGTAATGATTTAGTAATGATTAGTAATGATGAAATTATTATTAATTATGTATGATTTGATAGTAATGATTTAGTAATGATTAATTTCTATGTACGGGCGCTTTCCCAAGAAACAAGTTGCAAAGTTGTTCCACCTTATTAAACTCATGTGACATTACCACCGGCATCCCATTAGTTTGGACCCCGAGTTGCATTGCCACATCCTCCAAAGTTATCGTGCATTCGCCACAACGGCAAATGAAACGTGTGCGTTTCTGGTCTCCAGCGTTCAATCAACGCACTGATCAAACCTGGGACCAACTTGTAATCTCGCACAAATGTGACATACCAAAATCCAGCCTCTTGCAAATTTTCTTCTATTAGTGGGTGTGCTTGGGCACTTTATGTAGTCGAAGACGAAGGACTCGCTGCTTCCTCCTACAATTAAATATTTCAAAAAAATTATCACAATCATAAATAATATTCAAATATTTATTAATTATATTCATTAAACAAATATTTTATTCACCATTATTCCCAAATGACTTGAAATATGTTCATTGTCAAGCCTCAACAGTGGAATTGGTCAGCCATTGGAATGAATCTGTAAAAAAAATTAAACAACAATATTTAAAAAATCATTTAATATATCTAATATAAACTAACTAACTAATTTACAACACTAAACTTTAATAAATAACTTATAATATAAAAACTAATAAACTAACAACTAAACTTTTTAAAATATAAACGTAACACCAAACCCTTAAACAACTAATAAAATATTTTTTTATATAACTAAAACTAATTAATAAACATTTTTTCATTATAATATACTACTAATAAACTTACTAACTAAAACTAACTAATAAACTAACTAATTTTTTATATAATATATTCAACAAACAAATATAACTTAACTATTTAACTAACAAAAACTAATTAAATAATTTTTTTATATCTAACTATTAACAAAAAACTAATTAATTATTTTTTAACTATATAACTATCAAACATATACTAATTAAATAATTTTTAATTTATGTATACTATAACTTAAACTAACAATCATATAACCCTAAACTAATAAACTAATTAACATTTATAATAATAAACTAATTTAAATATAAACAAATTTACCTTATCTCCCTTTCTTCTTCTTACTTTCCTTTCTTTCTCCCCTTTCTTTCTTTCTCGGCTGAATCTCTTCTCCCTTCTTTCTTTCTTTTATGTGTGATCTTTCTTCTTGCAATTTGCACACCCCATATATAACCGGCTGCCTCAATTATTTCACCAACAATGGTTCAATTATGTTCATGCATGGTCTCGTCTCGTGAGCTAGGATCACATGGCATGCTGTAGGCATGCAGCGGGAGCAGGAGCACGTGAAGTTATCTTGGCATGCATGCAGGCATGCAGCGGGAGCAGGAGCACGTGAAGTTATTTGGCTGCATGTGCATGCATGGTCTCGGGAGGCAGTGGACGCCGGGGCGACCTACAAGGTCGCCGGGACTACATGGCGACCTACAAGGTCGCCGGGACTACATGGCGACCTACAAGGTCGCCGGGACTACATGGCGACCTACAAGGTCGCCCAGACTGCATGGCGACCTCTCTATTGGCTGGCTCGTTTGCATGGCGACCTCTCCGTTGGCTGGCTCGTCTGCATGGTGAGTATATGGCTTGTATGGCTCGTCTGCATGGGTATGGCTCGTCTGCATGGTGAGTATATGGCTTGTATGGCTCGTATGTCACTCGTATGTCTCCC